CCATGGGCCCGGAGAAATGAATTGATCCTGAAGGTCATTCGTAATGGCCAATCGTCCCAATCTCGATGGTTGGGGTCCCCACTCTGCACATACTCCACAATTTCATCTTCGGTGAGGGTCCCCTCCCGGTTGCCAGCAATGATATCATCTATCCTTAAACCATCCATCATCCTCTCACAATGGTTACAGACCCCGCCATGGGTGGGATGGGCCACCCATTGATATATATGACACACGGGTTGATTCTCCACGTATTCCCAAGAATCTAACAAACAAAACAATCAACACGAACAGTTTGGAACCCAGAACCGCGCGGCCCAATTGAGTCTGGCACGTCGAGGGCAAAGACATAGGTGGACAGGCCACAGCACGGTTCGTAGAAAATCGAACCCCTTGAATACCTCTATAAAAATCAAAAAAAAGGTATAAGGAAAAGGGACCCCACACCCGAAAAAAATGAAAAGTCATAAAACTCACCAGCCATGCGACGTCGATGGACCTCATGGTCTAATTTCCGGGCAATGGGATGGTCCCACGGGAACGTTTTGGCCCACGCTCGTAGCTCTTCGTGGGTGCACCGTCTGAACAGGGCGCGGAAACACTCGTGGCCCATCGGCAGGTGGTGTAGAATCTTGAGCATGTCGATGAGAACAGCAATTGGCACCGAGAACAACACAATGGACTGTAGTGAGCTCACCATCTTGAACAGTGTGACTGATCAAACTGGAATGAGCTCACACGGAGTGCGCAACGTGATTTAGAGACTCTATGAGAGGAACTGATTGGTGGAGAGATATCACGTGGGGGAGTTTGACCACGAGAGGAGATTCTAGGGGGTACCCCCCATGGGTACACTTTTTTGGATGGGACCCCGAGTCCTGGTGCGAGTGGATGATTGGTCCAAGGAACCCATGAATAAGGTGGAACAGAGTGGAGAGACCCCATTCCATGCTTGGCGCTGTCAACATGGACGGCCGAGGGTTAGTCGACCCCAGGAACAAACCGTTTGGTCGCGTGTTGCCTCTGGAAATCCAGATCAAGATTATGTTTTGGGTCCATTGTTTTTACACCATGGACAAGCGTAAGAAGGTGGTGCAGGAGTTGAAAGGGTTGCCCAAATGCTCCCTGACAGGGTTTCCGCAACATCTGGGCGAAGATCGGTGGTGGAACCAAGTGGTGGTGCGGTTGCACGCCCCCCGGAAAAATGGCTGCCACCATTGCCATCGTATGATGGATCACCGGTTGCCACATTCATCTCATGACCTTGACGCTGAAAAAACTTTTTTCTGTTTTGTAGATTGGCATGATGGCGGAAATGGCGCGTGTCCCTCCCAATCTGGACAAGGTGATGAACGAGGGCATTGCGTTCATCATTGACCGCTTCAAGCATCAGATCCCCAAGTGTCCCTTGGGTCAGCTCCCTGTCATGATTGGTCGGAGAAAGCGCTCCTATGATACCCTGGACAAAGTCATGAAGAGACTAGATTTGATTATGAACACCATGTCAGCCATGAATTTTATTGTGATCGATATACATTAAAAACAAGTGATTTTGTTCTAGAGCAGTGTTCCTTTTTTATGTTCATTTGCGTTTGAATAAAGCTTCTAGGGTGGGATAGAGGACCTGGTCTTCTTCTCGGGTGCCGACAATGGCGGTCTTGTCTTGGAGGGTGGGTAGAGCGATTTGGGTCTCGGTCATGCCTTCACAGGGTTGATATTGTTGGGTGTCGGGATTCCACCAACACCATTGTTCCTTATCCACATCAAACACATAGAGAGGTTTGCCTAAAAGCTGAGCCATAACCACACTCTATCCTGTGCCACCCAGCAGATGCTTGCCACATTCGTCAAAATGGCCCAAGGCGAGTACGAGGGACGCAGGCTGGATCACGTGATAATTGCGTTGGATATACTGGAGGCTGATGGGATGATGGATTTGTCGACCCAATCGAAACGCCACCTGGGTGACCATCGAGGTGGCGGCATCCAACTCGGACTGGGTCAAGGGCGTGAGGGACTTGGGTCGAGGGTGACAGGGTGGGATAAAGACCACACAGGTATGACCATACAAGTGACATAATCGCTCCACATGCGTGTCCACGCCTTTGGCACCTCCTGTGTAAATGAGCATGATCTGAAAAAATGAAAAAAATTCAGTGTTTATGATGAGGGATGGGAGTCCAAGCCCACATGGTATGCGGTTCATCATCGGCGTACATCAGGGGCACATCCCATTCCCGCTGGGTCACGGTTTGTTCAAAAACATGTAAGACGCTACGACAATCACTGCAATTATCCGGGATCCAATCCAGTCCTTGACCATTGGCAAACGCCTGGTCTTTGGCCTCGGTACAATAGTTACATAACAGATAGTCTAATAATCGATCACACCGTTTTTGCCACAACACGCGTTGGGCGTTGACTTGCGAAAGGGTGGGTAGGACATGGGTCTGGCGACGTAACCATCCACTCATTTGACAGACCCGCACGTGGGCGCAATGATCGTGCCAGACGCCACTCCCTCGTTCCTGGTGGGAATGATCCATGCACCAATTACGTCCATGATCGTTGTGAGCCATGACATTGGCGGTGGCAATGGGGAGATTGGCCAAGTCTGGGCAGCCCTGCCCTTCTAGGACCACGAGGGGGTAGGCAAACTGGGGCTCATGGAACAGTCGATACAGCCCATTGAGCTTGAACACCCCCAATCGTCCCCGCTGGGGGGTGAGATACTGTTGACACCAACGGGTGATATCGTCTCGCATCTGATGGTAGGGATGAAAGTCTTGGCGATTGTAAGCTGTGTACGGTTCGAAGGGCAATCCATGCACGGTCTTGGTCTGACGATCGACGCGCGTTTGGGCCTCCTCGGATAATTGATTATACGACACGCCTTGGGGTAACAGGTATTTGAAAAACCCATGATGATGCCCCGTCCAATCGCAAAAAGCCAGTTCTCGATTAATATACTAGTCTCGGGAGAGGGCAAACCCCTGACTGAACACCAAGAGACCCACTTCATGGAGCGCCATGCTTACCGTTTCAATTGGATCGCGACGAATGAGAGGGGTCGTCGACCCATCACTGGTTTTTATAGTAGCTGGGGTGGTTTCTAATTGGTGGACTCACGGATCACACCACTCTCACGAGAGTACAGGTGGAGTCCGGATTGGTGGAGACCAAGATCGTATGAGCATCACGAGTGGCATCACGAGAGGCAAGAGGAGGGGCTATAAAAGGCAGGCAAGACGCTCCCTTGGAGTCATTCTTCACTCGAGGGATGGATCGTCAAGCCACTCAACCTGCGGCGGTGCCTTCGGGACGCAAACGACGTCGCGTGAGTAAGAAACAAAAACAAGAAGAGGAAGCCCAAGCGCGAGCCCAAGCGCGAGCCCTAGAGATGAAAGCTGATCATGATCTGGAGATGGCCGAGCTCGGTTTGTCCCGAGCTGAACTCCTAGAGATGAAAGCCACTCAACCCCCTACCAGTGAACTGGTGATCGCTCTCAACGCATTGCCTAAAGCGGCCGACCAGACGCCACTGCCCACACCCTCTCCCACGGATCAATCCGTGAACGATTTGATGGAGGGAACCCTGAAAGACTATGAGGAAGAATGTGTCGAGGAAGGGACGTTTCATTCGGATCCAGCAACGGAAGTGGGGGAATGGGAAGTCCTGGACCAGATGGACACCCAGTTCAACCAACTCCTGTATGAATCGTGCCCGTTTCATCCCCATCGATTCCTTGAATGTGTCAACCCCCAATCCAATTTTGGTCCATTGAGGTTCAAGTGTCCCCAAGAAGGGTGTCCGGTCTATTTGTTTGAAGACACGCGGGAGGTGATGATGGAGAAATTGAAAGAAGACACACATCCTCAAGTCCATGCCCGAGTGAAACGCGGAGAACTCAAGTGCCGATGTGGGTTTGTCCCCAAGATGAAATTGAGTCGTACCACCAAGAATTACAACAAAGTGTTTTTCAGTTGTGGGAGCTTTCTCATGCATGCCAAACCCTGTGGCTACTTTCAATGGCTCCATGGTCCCCTGTGGTGTCCCCGAGAGCAAGCACAACCGACCCTGAGACGATGGGTCAAGGATTGTCTTGTTCCTCTTCTGAAAGGAAAAGACCCCGAGAAGGAGAGACCCTGGGCGATGCACCATGTAGAGAGGTCAGATCCAGAGATAGAAAAGATGAGGCGTAGTCCGTGGATGAATCAGTTTGGCGAATCTGCCAAAGCCCAGGAGAGAGAGTATGAGAGAAGGCGCCATTTGCATAAGAACTTTGGGAGCTCGTGTTTGTTTTGAAAATGTAGGTGTGTGAAAAAAAACTATTAAAGACAGAATTGGACTCGGATCGTGTGTCAGTGTCTTGATGTCGTTGCCACGCGCTTACGAAGATCCCCAGGAACCTGGGGCCTTGGGTGGGGTCCAACCCCTTGCCCAAGCCCATAAATTGAAAACCCCGCAAGCGCAACAGATTCTTCAATCCGTGTTGAGCTATACGCTTTACAAACCCCGACGGACGCGGTTTCCCACGACGCCCACATTGGTCTTTGACCGAGACGAACAATGGCAGATGGATTTAGTGGACATGCAAAAACTCAGTCGATGGAATCAGGGGAACAAATATTTGTTGACCGTGATCGACGTCCTGTCCAAGTATGCCTGGGCCGTCCCCATCAAATCCAAAAGCACGTCCGAGATGATCCGAGGGTTGACACGCATTTACCGACAAGCCTCGCCGCGGCGACCCCTCCGCGTGCAAACGGATCAAGGCAAAGAATTCTACAATCGAGGGGTGCAAGCCTGGTTCAAGAAACAGGGGGCGCATCATTTTTCCACGTATGGGGATAGCAAAGCCTCGGTGGTGGAACGATGGCATCGCACCTTGAAACAACGCATGTACCGGTATTTCACCGCGCACAATACGTTACGGTACGTGGATGTGTTACAACCCTTGATTCATACGTACAATCACGCCTATCATCGCAGTATTGGGTTGGCCCCGCACCAAGTCACCCCCCACACGGTGCCCGAGGTGTGGGAGAGACTCTACGGGTCGCGTTTGCACCCCAAGATCCCCCCACCCAAATGTCGAGTGGGCGATCGGGTGCGTCTCAACAAGAAACATCGTCCCTTCAAAAAAGGGTATTTGCCGGGCTGGACGGAAGAAGTGTTTGTGTTCACGCACGTGCGTCGTCATCCCGTGGTCACCTATCGACTCAGTGAATGGGACGGTACGCCTATAAAAGGCACGTTTTACGAACCCGATGTCCAAAAAGTCCAAGTGTCGGACGACTCGTTATTTCGAGTCGAAAAAGTCTTGAAACGCAAAGGACGTCAGGTCTTGGTCCGGTGGAAAGGGTGGCCTGCCAAGTACGATAGTTGGATTCCCGCGCAACATGGTCCGCGTCAAAATAACGCCTCGAAAAAGAAAAAAGCGGGTGCGGTTTCTCGATGAAGTCCTGGCGGATTCCAGCCGACCGAGGGCCAGTTACACGCCACCCCCCACCACGGACGCGGACATTATGAACTTCATCCAGAAAAAAGCCGCTGAACAACGGCAAACTCAACCGTGGTGGGAAAAGTTGGCCAGTCCCACCAAACAGCAATGGGCCTACGCCAATGCCTACCATCGAGCCGAAGAGTATGCCAAGAAACGAGGTGCCCTACGGTCCCCACCCAAGAAAAAACAACGCCGACGCGCCGGTCGTCATCCACCCATGCGCAAGAAGAAACCCCCTAAACAAAAGACCTGCATGACCCTGATGGAACTGGCCCGGGCCTTTCCCAACATTGCTCAGCAAGTGTGTTTTCATCCCAAACAATCGACCTTCAATTCGTTGGTGGGACGCGTCCCTCGCAGTAAACAGAAAGTGGACCAGTGGCTATAAAAGGACCCTGCACCCTCTGGGACGTGCCTCTTCTTCATCATGAGTGAGATTAAACGCTTGACCATGACCCTGATGGAACTGGCCCGGGCCTTTCCCAACATTGCTCAGCAAGTGTGTTTTCATCCCAAACAATCGACCTTCAATTCGTTGGTGGGACGCGTCCCTCGCAGTAAACAGAAAGTGGACCAGTGGCTATAAAAGGACCCTGCACCCTCTGGGACGTGCCTCTTCTTCATCATGAGTGAGATTAAACGCTTGACGCTCATCAGCGATCCGACCGACGAGTTTCCCAACAATGCCAACAACAGTTTCAAGGTCCGTCTGCCCGAACGTCTTTCCTTACCAGGCGAGGGTTGGCACGCATCCCTATTGTCTCTCACCGTCCCGGATCAAGGCCAGAGTAATGCCATCATTGCGGCGGATCCTCATACCAAAGTGATGAAATTCAAAATGTCGTATGTGGTCCTCAAGTTTCAGTTGGGCACCTATCGACGGATGGAACTCAAAACCGTGGACTGCGCATTGGAATTGGAAGAGATCATGAATGCGAATCAAATCGTGTCGACAGGGAGTCAGTTTTGGAAACGCGTGATGCAAGAAGTGCACAATAAAATCATGCACAATGTGATGAATGAACAAATGCAGCGTTTAGTCAGGGAGCCCGACGAAAGACCTATTGTCAGCGCCAAACAAAACACCATGCCCCGACTGATCTGGAAAAAGGGTGCCTTGGTGATTAAGGCCCTTCCCCAAATGGATTTGATTAAAGCGGACAAGAGCGCGATCACCGACCTTTTCATCAACCTGGACATTGCGCTCAAGTTTGGGTTGGTGGTCGAAAAGACCAGTCAAAACAGGACCTGGTATCCATTGGGGCCCAATATGCAATACACGCTGCCTACCAAGACGTACGATTCGACCACCCAACCCGCCGGCAATCAGTTTCGCAGGGCCTACAACTGGGAAGGTGCGCAGTACATGGGCGTCAATCCCACCTTACTGTTTGGCAATACAGGCAGTATTACCAATGATCCCCTGCAAGTGGTGACCCATGATGGTGTGAAGTTTTTACAATTGTCCTTGATAGTGGAATGGCAGTTGAATAACCTGGATGCCTCGTTTGAAAAGATCGTGGGGACTCGCAAACGGACCGTCATGGTCTATTCGGATCTAGTCGAATCCACCGTAGTGGGCAGTGGCAAGTTTCCCCTGTTACGGGAAGTGCAATTGTTGAGAACCGGCGATGGGGAAAGTACGGCAGAACCCTTGCACCACCAATGGATCAAAGTGCGAGGAAATCAACTAGAGATCTTGGAAGTGGAGATTGCCAGTACCAGTGGACCCCTGGCCATCTTACCCCCGGGCAAAACCCTGGTGACCATTGGTCTCAAAAAGCTATAAAAAGTCACCCCATTTCTCTGGAAGGTCCAAAAAGCACCACGACGTGAACCGATCATGCGCGGAGGCAGTTTAACGCGGTACCATACGCCCGTGCTCACCAAGCAAGAGGGCAAAGGCTTGGCCGAAGACTTGATCAAACTGGCGGGACCCCTGATTGTGCAGCAAGCTCAAGCGGGACTGCAAGATATTCAACGAGGAAAGAGTGCGGAGGACACGTGGGCCGATCGAAGTGCCCAACTCAGTCGCGGATTGAAACGCAAAGCCCCCGCCATGGCTTGGACGGCTGGCAAACACAAGGTCAAACGGACCGCCCAAAATACCTATAAAAGAGCCACGCAACGCGTACGGGATATCTTTGGACTGTGAAAAATGGTACGTGTAGGAGGCTTTCTGAAAACGCAAAATCGTATTCGACGGCAACGCGCCCGTGGACGGTTCATTTCGCCGTATCAAGTGGGGGGTACGATCTTTGGCAAGTCGACCATGGCGCGCTATCCCCTGATGTACACGTCCTCCCGCCTGTTGGATCAACACCTACAGCGCAAGATGAAAGGGGGGACGATTTTTGGTAAGTCCACCCGCATGCATAACAATCCTTGGAGGTTCCCATCTGCGTCGCCCCGGATCAACCCCGAACCCTGGAGGGTGAAGCAGGCCCTACGCCGTATGAAAGGGGGCACGATTTTTGGCCCGGGGGATCTCAGAAAGGTGTTGTGGGCCAACCAAGCCAAAGCCAGGAAGCAACGAAGGCGAAAGGGTATAAAAAGAGGACGCCGTTGAACAACGTGGACAGACCGCATCATGTCGCTCAGTCTGTTTGACGTGTCCGATGTGGATTATCGGTACGAAGCCTCTCGGGAGGTGGAGTTTCAACCCGCCTTGACAGGCATCCAACCCATCACCTTCTCCATTCCAGGCTCCGATGATTATTACGATCCCAATTCCCTCCGATTCAAAGTCAAAGTACGCCTGACAGATCCAGCGGCTGGGTACAATGGGTTGGTGGCCAATTTGGCCAACTCCGATGCCAACAATACCAGAAACACCTACTGCGTCAACAATTTCGGTCACACCATCTTTCGAGACATTACCATGAGCATGAATGGCGTCCTCATGACAGAACAGAGCAACACCTACCATTACAGAGCCTACATGGAAACCCTGCTGAATTACAACCGAGAGGAAGGAGCCACCAAGCTAGCCCCTCAAGGATGGGTCAATCAGCTGAATGTGATTGCAGAAATGGGAGCCACAGGAGCCAATTCTGATGTGCCCACTGGCGCGGATTGGAGTGGCAATACAGAGTTGCGAGCCCTGACCAGCCGGTTGCTGGGTGAACATTGGCACACCTTCATCATTCGTCCCCATTTGCCACCCCTCCAGACAGGCAAATTGTTGGTCCCCAATGTCCAGATGGACTTTGAACTCTTCCTCAACCCCAACTCTGTCTACCTGATTGGTACCCCTAACAAAGGCACCTTGGTAGCCAAGAAATTTCCAGCCATCCACAATGACGACATCAAAGTCACCTTGCTGATGAGAAAAGTGACCTTGAATGCCAGCGTCTATGTCAGACTGCAGAAAGAAAGACAGCTGGGCAAACAGATTGCCCGCTACCCCGTCGTACGAAGCGAAATTCGCACGTTTTCCTTCGATGGACGCACTACCCAGTGGGAACAAGACAATGTGTTTGTGGGTCGATTTCCTGATCGAGTGATGGTTGGGTTATTGCATTCCAACACCTTCAATGGAGACCTCACAAGATACCCCTTTGCCTTTGAAAAGTTTGGTGTCACCCAAGTACGACAGACCTTGAATGGAGAAGAATACCCTTACAGAACCCTGCAATTGACTGGAGACCAAGCCTATGAAGATCTGCTGGGCTACGATCGATTTCTACAAGCCATGGGTGCCTACAATGAAGACAAGATCCCTATGCTGCTGCCTAGTGATTGGGGACAAGGCAAGAATTGCACGTTGTTCATGTTCAACAATGTGCCCAGTGGAAAAGCAGATGACCCCCAGTACCGCAACCCCCGTCAATCGGGCAATACGCGACTGGTGATTGATTTTGCCGCTGCAGTGGGTCATAACATCACCGTGTTGGTGTGGAGCGAGTATGAAAACATGTACGAGATCAATCATCTGGGAGGTATAAAGTACAACATCAACGGTTGAGATTGTCTCAGAAGACAGAAGACACCGGTCATGGAGTTTGTGGCGCTCAGTGATACTGTGTTGCGGACCCTGGCCCTGGAGGATCCCACCTTACGGCGCGTGTTTCATGGGGTGTACCCGGCCGACCAGCTCCCCCGATCCCCCGCCATGAGTGTCCGTCAAGCGTACATTGTCAACACCGATCCAGCGGGAGAACCGGGACAGCATTGGTTGGGTCTATGGACAGAAAAGAACAAGTGCGAGATCTTTGACAGTTACGGTCTACCTCTGCACGTGTACACCAACCCGGAGTTGCACCAGTGGTGGGGTCAATGGAAGTACCTGACGCACAGTGACCAGACCCTGCAAGCCCTGGATAGTCAAACCTGTGGCCATTATGCTTTATTTTTCTTGAAAGCCCGCGCGCAAGGACGGTCGTATCAAGAATTTTTAAGTCAATGGAGTTGCGACAATTTAGTGTTGAATGATCAAAAAGTAGCCGAACAGTTGAAACGGGTGATTAAACAGGAATTACAAGATGAAGTCGATGCCCGGCCCGACGGGCAAAAGAATGTGAGCCGCCAGGCCTTTATGAATTGTAATCACTGTGAGTGTTGAAAATAAAAAACCCATAAAACGAGGTGTGTGGTCAAAGAGTGGTCATTGTCTCTCATCATGATTACGCGAGCCGATGTACAGCGTGTTGTGGATGCGTTCATTCTCGAAGAAACCTTGTATTGGTGGTCCAACCCGATTGAGCGGGTCAACACGGTGCGAGGCATCGATGCCTGGGATGGGTATCATTGGTTAGTCGCTCGACAATTGGCGCAAGACCAAGATTGGGTCTCCCTCAAGCACTACATGGACAGTATAGGCGAAACGTATTTAAGAGAGACCATGGAACAACTCATTCAGTCCGAGTCCCCCCGCTTATACCGCG